TGTGTGTGTGTGTGTGTGTGTGTGTGTGTGTGTGTTAGCAGGTGGTTTCACTCTCTTGCCTCATCTCTTTCTGCTCTCTTTGAAGTCGACCTGACAAACTCTCCTCTGGCTGTAAACTTTGTGTTCTGAACATTAAAGCTCTTTGGAAAGTTCTGCTCAGTCCAGAACTGACTGACCACTGACTGAAACTAAAAATCACTCACAGCCATGAAGAAAACGACTCACAACTTTGTTTGTGTTGGAAAACTAAATTAAAGACACTTGGTTTAATTTCTTATCACACCAAGTTTAGAGGCAGATGGTTTGGTCCAAGAGACACGAACTTTGGCTGAGTTTTCCTTTGGATTTCCATCCAAACCAGTCGTTCATTTATTTAATAAATGCTTAAACGAATGTCTGCATCTGATTTTCTGACAGATCTATGTGATAGGCTGTGTTCACACTGGATGATGACCTTGATACACCATCACCTGTACACTGGTTCTCAAACATGTGACCCTCAAATTAACACAATCAAAGAGACTCATGGCCTAAACACAAACTCATGTTCACTGAGGGCCAYGTGAGCCTTATGTTGGTCCTTWAAAAGCCAGTTGTAATCAACATTGATGTTTCCTGTTTAACTTTGGCTAAACATGAAACATCATGCCTCTCGTCTCATTGCTAAGGCTGAGCACCACTAAAGAATAATAATGAGAAATTGGTCCCGACTGTAGTAGAGCCTTGATTGGTCAATCTTTTACCATTGGTACTGACGGTAGTAGAACCCTGATTGGTCGATCTCTTAGCATCGGTACCAGCTGTAGTAGAACCCTGATTGGTCAATCTCTTACCAATATTACTAGCTGTAGTAGAACCCTGATTGGTCAATCTCTTACCATTATTACTAGCTGTAGTAGAACCCTGATTGGTTGATCTCTTAGCATCGGTACCAGCTGTAGTAGAACCCTGATTGGTCAATCTCTTACCATTATTACTAGCTGTAGTAGAACCCTGATTGGTTGATCTCTTACAATTGGTACCGATTGTAGTAGAACCCTGATGGTCGATCTCTTACCCTTGGTACTGACTGTAGTAGAACGCTGATTGGTCAATCTGTTACCACCGGTACCAGCTGTAGTAGAACCCTGATTGGTCAATCTTTTACCATTATTACTAGCTGTAGTAGAACCCCGGTTGGTTGATCTCTTACAATTGGTACTGACTGTTGGAGAAACCTGATTAGTCGATTTCAAACCATTGGTACCAACTTCAGTAGAACCCTGATTGGTCTATCTCTTACCACTGGTACTAGCTGTAGTAGAACCCTGATTAGTCCATTTCTAACCATTAGTATAGACTGTAGTAAAAACCCTGATTGGTCTATCTCTTACCNGAACCCTGATTGGTCGATCTCTTACCATTGGTACAGACTGTAGTAGAACCCTGATTGGTCGATCTCTTACCATTGGTACAGACTGTAGTAGAACCGATTAGTTGCTTTTTAACTATTGGAAGGTCATCATCCAGAGTGAAGGGGACCTTGGAGTATTTTGTGAGCCAGGTAAACCTTCACCTSCTACACATGATCACAAATCCTTTTTTTCTTTTATAGCGGCCGCCCTCCGTCCCGACTGGTGAGGCGTTTCGTTGGTTCTTCTAGCCCTCCATTTGCCACAAACTCAAGGAGTTTGTCACTAAAGCAGACGGACTACAGCACCCAGCAGAAGGAGCTTCTGGGACTGAACAAGAGTCTTTGCAGCAGGATTTCATTCTGCGTGGAGGACAGTGATAGCCCACAAATCCCTATCAGCTGAACGAGGGGCCTGCTGGCCAGAACAAGAGGAAGAGACAGTTTGATCACAGGAAACAGGAGGGGGCAATCACGATGAGCCAAAGTGTCATGTTTGTCTCTAAAGGTTCACAAATCCCCACACAGACATCTCTGTGCTGCAGGGATGAATGGTAAAAGTTTATTTTGTATGCGTTAACATCTCAGATTGGTAAAATTATAACATTAGTTTGATCTAGAGCTGTCCTTCATTTATACATTTTCTGTATGATTTACATGAGCTGCAGTTTGTTTATAACACAATTAATTTCCACTGGTTACTGATTGGTTGAATTAAAAACAAAACAAATACTTTTAAAGCACAATACATTCTAATTTGTGTTGCACATGGGCTGAGTAGTTCAAACATCTAATACAGGGGTCTCCAACCAGTACCTCCTGAGCTCATTTAAAGTAGCTCTTCAGTGCTTACGAAAAATTAGGAGAAGCAAATTTTAATTTGTCACTGGCCAAACAAACTTTCATTTAATTCAAATAATCTTTAGAAGTCCATTCCCCTTGGTTGTCAATCAAACAGTTTAGGGCTCAGTATGGTCGATCGACAGACGATGCACGGTTACGTGTTTGTTCAGCGATTGTTTTCGCATGCACCTTTCATGGCCCCTTGAGACACACTGGCTGTGTCCAAAACAGGAAGCCGGGTCTTCCGAAGGACCCGACCTCCCATTTTGGACACAGCGACTGTGCCAAACTCCTGGGAGTACACTACAGGGGGTTTCTTCCTGCTGGAATCTACAATGCGGAAAGAAATAAAATAAAAATCTGAGACCCGTCTCCCTACGTTATTTGTGCACAGATCTGTTGCAGTCGAACCCTAAGTTATTAGTGTGAAATACACTATAATATGAATGGATAAACACAAAAAGCACGGTCATGTAAACTCAGTGTTCTTTGTGGTGGTTTCATGTGAAATGAAGACAGTTTTTTTGTGCAAAACAAGCTTATTCCAATGGTTTAAGTTTAAAATTAAATGTTGCAAAAAGTAGCTCTCGGAAAATTTCATTTTGTAAAAGTAGCTCTTAAGGTAAAAAAAAAGGTTGGAGACCCCTGATCTAAAAGGTTTGACCCAAGACAGCAGAAAAACCTGAAACTTCAAACATTAAGCCCATTAATAAAAATAAAACCTTCCTGAACTGTAAACAGAAGCAAGTGGTCGTCACACATTTAACGTGTCTTTAGTGTTTTGGAGAGAAAACTGAGCTCAGATACAATGAAAGTCAATGAGAGTTTGGGTCCTCTGACCTCTGGGGAATGGGACACACTGAGTGAAATGAGATATAAATACCTGCATTTTGATGTAAAAATGAGGAGAAATGTGAAATTTATGGGTGTCAGACGAGTTCAGAGAGCTCAGGAGTTAAACTGTATGACATCATCACTCCAAAAATCAAACCTAAACTGATTGTAAAAACTAACAGAAATTTTAATTCAGTTGAGCCATATGAAGTCCAACTCCCTGTAACCAGTTTAACAGAGCTGTAGMTCCAAACAGGACTGGGTTTTACCGCTTCATGTTCTGATCCAGCTGCACCTGTTCATGTGTTTTTGTTGGTTGGTTTGTTTTAATCAGGTGTTGGTTAAATAAAAACAAGAACAAATGGATAAAGAATGTTTAAAGAAGTGAAGTTTTCCAGTGAAACACCAGTTTTCTCTCTCCAACACTTGTTTGAATTATTGATGTGGCCCATCAGCCTTCCCCACCTGTGGCACCTCCTCCTCCTCCTCCTCCTCCTCTCAGCCGCCCCTCTGTAGCCAACCCAGGAAGATTCAGGAGCCAACCAGACTTTTTTCAATTTGACCAAAACTGGCTGTCGTGCTAACCTCAGAGAGGAACTCCAAACTGACCTCAGCAGGATGTGATCCAAGACTGTTATTATGGACTACAGGTTTCCACAGTAGGACTACAATAACCACATCACTGTTATCTGTCTCCTCTGTCTACCTCCTCCTCAACAACTCTGAGACACCTTCATTGATTTTACTCCACGGCACCACAGGAGCTGCTTTTCAACTCTCTTTACGTTCTCCGGACTCATGTGGTCTTTACTCTGTGAAAATGGGATTTATTTATTCATTCATCCACCTTGGTTTTAAAGGATAGTTCTCAGGGCGCAGTCASACTTCCAGGTGGTTTAATCCGACCTGAAGCAGACTGGGAAAACCCACCTTCGTGCATTTTTGTATTTTCTTAAAAAAGGTAGCAGTGAGTAGCTTTTATCTGTTGTGTTTTTAAAAGGAACAAATCAGCACTTCGGTTGAGTCTGAAGCTCCTAAACATTAAAAACTCAGAGACCCTGATCAGGACCTCAAAGAGAGTTCAGAATCAGTTCCTGGAACCACACGGTGACCTGAAAGAGATCAGAACATTCCACACCACAGCTCACAGTACGTGTTGACATGCTCAGTGATACCTTGTACACACCAAGACGTTCAGATTAAACTTTTACCCCAAACACCTCTTTCTGTGAGGATCGTTTTGTAGAAGAACCGAAAYGTTTCTCCAGAAACTACAGAAGTGGCTCAGTTAGGTTCATGAGTCTTGTTTTGAAATATTAACTTGAGATCAGTTAAAACACAGATTGGTTGGATTAAATAAAATGTTTTTGGCTTCTAACATTTTATATTTTAGCTCACTGTTCTTACATTTTGCAAGGTTACACTAAATGATAAATTTAAATGTTAAAATGTAAATATAAATACAAAAGTTCAATCTTAAATGTAGTGGCTAAACGTTGAAGCTTACATTCAAGAATATCAGAATGGAACGCAGCCTTTGTTGGTTTTTATTGTGATGTCATCATCCTGAGACAAAAACATCGGTAATGCTGCTAACGCTGCTAGTGCTGCTAACTTTTTTAACACTGCTAGCGCTGCTAACACTGCTAACTCTTCTAGTGCTGTTAGCATTGCTAGTGCTGCTAACACTGCTAACTCTGCTAGCGCTGCTAATGCTTTCCTACAAAACATCAAACTTTTTTTAATAAACAGGACAGTGTGCAAATAAAACAAACGTAAAAATATTTGATGCATTGCACCAGATTTAGCCTAAGGCTAATTTACATCTGTAGTCCCTCCACACAATAAAAACAAAAAACATCCAACAGTAATAGAAATAAGAAAAGAAAATAAACAGAAAGAGAAAAGTAAAACAAATAAAACTTGCAGTTGTGGCCGGTGTCTGAGCTGCACTTCAAAGTGCCGGACCACAGGAACCATTCACACTGTTTACAATGAACACATTAGAAGGTATTTAAATACCATCTTCAGTACCATTAGCAGCGTTAGCAGCGTTAGCAGGGTTAGCAGCATTAGCAGCGTTAGCAGTGTTAGCAGGGTTAGCGTCTGCTGTTGTCCCAGGATGATGACATCAACAAAAACAGAGCACCTTCAACATTCAACCACATTTCAAATTAAATTTTTGCATTTAGATTTCGAATTTACAGATATTAACATTTAATTTTAACATTTAAAAAAAATAGCAAAATATAAGAACAGTGAGATAAATTATTAAATGTAAACTTTTTAACACTTTCAAAGTAAGATAAATAATGAAAATGTGTTAACATTTTATTTATTATAGATCATTTATTTAATATTCATTTATTTGCTCTGAGGACTGAAGACATGAAGACATCGGTGTGTCTCGTCTTGTCCTCACCTGTGTTTGAAAATAACTAAAGGCTGCTGATGATGTAACATGTAGAGAGGCAGCTGTTTTAACCCTTTCATCTTTAGTGTTTTAAATGTAATGAATCTTTTTATCTGCAGCAGAAATTCAGATGGACACAGTAGACTTCTGTCCAAGCTGAGGACATCTGTCCAAGCTGAGGACATCTGTCCAAGCTGAGGACTTCTGTCCAAGCTGAGGACATCTGTCCAAGCTGAGGACATCTGTCCAAGATGTGGACTTCTGTCCAAGATGTGGACTTCATAATGAACAAGTTTCTGCTCCTGCAGTGGTTTCAGAGTCACAAAGAGACGCTCCTCTTCCTCTTTGTGGGAACTCAAACCAAACACCTCCTCCATCTCAGGCTGGAGGAGGTGATGAGGAGGAGACGGAGGAGGAAGGAGACGTTTGTGTTGAGAGCCTGTCCTCCTCCTCCTCCTCTTGTAATCTGTCTCTGTGACCTCTTCATGTGCTGAATTATAATAAAGCATTTCAAAGATGACACACACACTGACTGACTCACACTCACACACAGAGACACACACAGACTCACACACACACAGCGATGTCAGGTGATTGCATCATGCGTCGCAGTGAGTAATGATGTGTGTGAGGCAGCAGCAGGCATGAAAATGAACAATATGTTTTCCTGTGTTTGTGTGAAATTTTTCTGCCACAAGATGGAAGCTGTGTGTGTGTGTGTGTGTCTGTGTGTGTGTGTGCGTGGGCTTGTCATCTCTGTAATGGTGTTGCTATCTGACAGAGAAAGAAAGACGGAGAGGCTGGTTGTCCCTGACGACGGTGCGCCGTGTTGCCAGGCAACTGCGCTAACAATGGCCCAATGCAAAGCAGTGTTCTAGAATGTAGGCGTGGCTTGATGAGGAGTGGGCGGGGCTCTTCACCTCACAGCCCATCAGAACGCSAACGTTAACAGATTTTTTTTAATCAAAGTGTCAAAACGTGTCATCAGATCCTGACTGAAGACAAACAAACAACGAGCTGAAGAAAACAACAACAACCAACAAAACAACAAAAACAACAACAACAACACATAAAAACTACATCTACACCTGTTAATAAGACAGGCAGAAACACAGAGCAGAAAGTAACCCTCAAAAAACAAGACAGGTTCTACATGTGTCTTAATCAGAGTTGTCAAGTAACTAAGTACAAGTACTTTGTTACTTAAGTAGTAATTTTGGTTACTTATACTTTAGTAATTACTTTTCAGACTACTTTTTACTTCTACTCCTTACATTTTAATTCAATTATCTGTACTTTCTACTCCTTACTTTTTA